TTCCTAAAAAATAACCCGGCACCTTGTTCTATTCACTGCGTTTTCCGGTAGTACCGCCCACGCCGAATATCCGGTAAGCAAGCGCCAGCCCGCCACTAGCACCGTTTTTATAGCTGAACGATTGTTTGGGCACCCTATAGTTACCGGCAGCATCCACTACATAATAGTTGATCATCTTCAGATCGCCCTTTTTACTGAATGACACGTAAACGCGCGGTGCGCTCATAGCAGCTTCGTTCCATTTGATATTACAGGCCTTTAAGCGTTTTATCACTTCATCATCGGGGGTGCCGCTTACCTGCAGGCGCATGGTCATTTGCTGCCCGGTAAAAGGCACCAGCTGCGGGTATAACTGGTACATCCTGTTCAGCCAGTTGCCGGCCTCCTCTTCCTGGTCCAGTTCTGCTGCTACTATGGCGTTGGCCTGGTATAGGCGGGCCATAAAAAGCTTTTCATACTCAGGGTCAATGGTGGGGTCATTGAGCAGGCTCGTCAGTATATTCTTAGCTTCCTTATAGTCTCCGTTCTGAATCTTCAGGCGGGCTACAAATAAGCGAAAGTATTTCCGGATGTTTTTGCGCGGATCATTCGTCGCTTCTTCTTCAAAGCGCTTCATGAAGAATTGAGTACCCAGATTCTGGATCAGGTACCAGACCTCATCCCAGCTCACCGTACTTTCGGTGGAAAACAGTTTATAGATCACCCGGTCGCGTTCGGGGTTCTTGGCAAACAGGTTGACGATCAGGAATTCCTGGAGATAGCGTTCTCCTTTCAGCGCCGCCATATTAGCCAGCACCTGCGGGTTGTACCACCAGTTCCTGTTTTCAAACCGCTTCATTTCATAACGGCTGTTCTTAGTCAGTAGTTTATTAAGCTGTATGCTGAAATCATAGTGGCTCTGCCCAAGGGTCGTACCAATGTGCAGCTCCTTAAACTCAGCAGCCTTGTCTATATAACGTTCGCTTTCGCCCACCTGCCCGTCATAGAAGAGCGAGCGCGCCAACGCAATATTATACCAGCCAAA